CACAGCCACGCTCATCCAGTTTTCCCCGGCCACTTCTCTAATGTCATCAGACCATCTCTTTCTCTGTCGACCTACTCGCCTTTTTCCTGTCGGTCCCCGCCACTTTGTTAGTTGGTAAGTCCACCATTTGTCTTTGTACCTAGCTACGTGACCTGCCCATTTCCATTTCTATCTTAGGCCATGTTGAAGTGCATCTTTTAAACCAACTTTGTGCAATTTTGTAAACACAGTTGCTTTATAATAATAAGAACTAAAATGTCAGCTACCATCCGCATGGTTCTGCAGCATACGAAGTATTGTAATGGCACGTCAATACAATAACCAAGTTGGTCAGTTCAAAAACCTGACCTGAGTGGTCAGGTTTTTGAGTGGGGAAGTAGTGTTCCATAGGGCGCTGCTCGCAGACTGTTCGAGACTATATAAATTAAAGTGAATGACATTCAGATACGTAAAATAGTTATATAATAGTTTAATTTGCGTATATTGCATACGTAAATTAAAGTATTATATAAATACTTTATGTATCAATTTATTATCCATATAATTTAAATTAAATACATTGTTATTTTTTCTTGATGCGTTTTGTATGTCAATATTTATAAACGCTATGTTTTTTGAAGGATGAATATGGACAGATACAACAGTGAAGGATGTAAAGATCATACAGTCAGGTTACTTAGTCACGAATTAATTACGAAGGATTTTAATGGAGACTGCGTGGAGATTGATCTGGTAGCACTAGTCATCATAACCCATTTCCTCTATTTTTCCATATTGCCATAGTTCTTTTCTGTATGGTGCTGAAATGGTGCCGGCCTGCTCTTACTGTATAGAATAAACTATGTTCTTTATATTAGAAGATAAAAAAACTAATATTAACGTAAAAAATAATGAATAAAGATTTTAAATATAGTGTCTACTATTTTTTTAGCCAATTCATTACTCTTATGAAATAAGTTATCTGCACGGAATGAATTCATGAATGGTGCAAGTTTGGCCGGCCCCCGTCTTATGAAATGATAAAACAATTAAAACTTTGCCGTGCCCCATAGCCGCCAGTTCAGTGACTTGAAACACTTTGCAAGTAGGTATGTCATGTTTCTAATCAACTATATGAATAATATATAGTAACATGAAAAGGATTATATTAAAATTCTGTTAAATTAAAAAGTCGATGCTGATCCTTACAAAATTGGTAAAGAAAGTAGAAGATAAAATCTTCTTAATACAGAGTTCGCATTCCCTGATATGTGATATATGAAATTCTCGAGATGTTTGTGTAACGGCTTCACTGTTTCTTAAAAAAGCACGTAAAATATTTTTCAAACCATTGCTTGTTTATACTACACTTGTTATTTAGTATTGTAAATGTAGTTAAATTCGAGTAAAGTGTGCGTGTGCCTGTGCGTTTCTCTCCCCTTTATGGGTCGAACACCATTGATTAAGAGTCCCATGACGTTATCGAAGGACGACGGCAGAAGCAGTAGAACGAAGCACCAGGTGTTTTTAGTTGATAACATAGTAGTATCCATAAGATAAAAGTCAACCAGTTTGTAAGTCCAAACGTGGGTTTGGAATGCCCTGTGCTGTCACTGTATGGAGTACATGGAGTACATTGAATTCACGTTAGTAAACACTGTAGGTGGTCAACAGTATTAGAGTATTCAAAAAAAAAACCAGTGTCGTAATGCGTCAGTGTTTCACACGAGTAGAGCTGTTAGTTAATTGTAAAAACAGTCCTGTAGTAACAGCCTTTATAGCTAGAGCAACATTTTTGAAATTTAATTATAACTAATTGCGAGACCGCTGTACAAGCGACTGCTACGTATTAATGAGTAATTAATTCATACAGGTAATGAAAATTACTTTAATTATTTTCTATGTTAACAACAGGGCTTTTATCCTTTGATATATTTTCTTACTCCTGTTAAATGCGACTAAAAAACAAGAATGGCCTTTATATGAGCCGCGTAGATTCCGTATGATTATAGATAGCGATTGTTATGTCTGAAACACATTCTTTGTAAATAATTGACAATGTATGTGACAGAGAAATGAAGTAGAAATAATTTCTGGTCTGCAGTGGACCGAAAACACATAAACATAAATATTTCAATTTAATTGGTTTGATATGATTCTTTTATTATAAAGTGCGTATGAAAAGAAATAATGATATTTAACACATAATATACTTTAGGTTCTCATGAAAATTAACTTGTAAATAAATGCGTCTGCTCTGTGGTATAAAGTCCATGCAAACGATTTATAAAAGCTAGTTCTGAATAAACTTTAAAATTGAAATTTCAGTAAGTGAATAGTTACTGAAATGAGGCTTCATTGAAACTTTGATTGAGGCTAAGGGGAGAGTGGTGTTTTAGCCACATACGCCGTAGCGGAGTGCCCTCACGTCCTGGAGGGGGAGAACGTACGAAAGCCCTCCATGTTTGTTACCCGATTAACTTCTCGTTTCGTCTATTTGTAGTGGTTTTATATTTGACGTTCAGAGAATTAGTATAAAGAAAGTACCTCATATTATATGTATATAATTATTTTCTTTACGTTTTTACTTTTACTGCATAAATAATAGCAAAATGGGACTTAACGACAACTTTCTATTCATTTATTTGTTTGTGTGTTAAGGTTTCGTGTAAGAACGGTAGTAAGAATTTATAACATTTTATACATGACAGAATACTTGATATAGTATCAAAAAATCTAATAAACGTACCCCAAATAATAATAAAGGAATATATAATTTAATTACTAGCGTAATGAAACACCATTTAATGTATAATAATAATATATAATATTATCATGTCTCTGATCAAAATACAGTTTACTTAGGAAACTGCTAGACAGCTGAAATAGAGGTATGCAGACATTTTTGTTGCAGTTTATGTAGACGGCATATCTAATAAAAAAAACAAAGAAGTAATTTATTCATAAGGAAATAATACTAAACGTTTTCTATGATAGTAAGAGATATGACCTACCCTAGATCGCCCTTCTATGATAACACCGATGTGCCATTCCATATTTTAATTTGTTTTATACGTGTATGTAAGTATATTCGGACCTTTGTCGCAAGTCGCAACGTTTAGTCTAAACGGTTTGATGGAGTTTAAGGAATGATGTGTCGTTAATTTTGCTTTTATTGTGGGATTTCTACAACTTATATGAGGACAGTATTAAATGAATATTTAAGTAATATATAGATGATAATAATAATAACGATAATATAAAAATAAATGTGCAGATAAAATTTCGAAACGATTTATATCACTTTGCTAAGTTAGTGAGTTAGTCATTGCATATTAAGTTCAAAGATATAATGTATATAATTATTACTATAATGTATAAATGAATACTCAATAGACTAGAATAGTACCTCTCACTAAAGACATATTTCCAATATATTCTTATTATTACCGGATAAGGGTAATGTTACCAAAACTGTTACTCAATATACCTCAAACGAGTTGTGCTAAATTACCCCGAAGCAATAACCTAGAAAAAGGTTTCATGACTCTTAAAATTAATGTTAGAGAACTCCTAAACTTGCACCATAACCCGGACCCGAAGTCCCAAACACACGTTACCGGGGCATAATAAACACGTCCAAATAGGCAACTACTAATCGTATTTCACCACAATATAATGCTGAGGTCGCAACCGAACACAGCTGGGTTATACCAGTATATTTATAATAAATTATTTTAATTCACAAGAAAAAGTTGTTATCCTGACAAAATGTACCTAGGCTATCTATTATAAAATGCAGATTTTTGAGATAAATGCACCGTAATGATATTTCACGTGAATATAGATTCATATATTCCCGTCAATTTTATTACAACACATCCATCATGAATATTTAATACTCAGATTTAAAAGGCATGTTTTCGCATTTACTATATTAATATGTATTTTGGGATAAATTAAAATAGACATAAAAAATAAATATATTCCTAAATTTATTAATTTTATAATTTAAGAGCCGCGTTTTTATGTCGAAAAATATTTATTTATTTATATACACACTATCATCACAAGCTTATCCCCAATACAACAGTGCATCCAATATTACAACACCGGTTTGGTAACATAGCATATAAAATACAATGCGGTCCTTGTGAATTCACACAGACTACACACAAATACGTTCCCTCTGCTACTTGATTGAGAGTGGTCAGTGAGTGCGTCAGTGGTGCTTTCATTAATAAATTAGTCCTTCCGCGAGGTACTACCAGCAGCTGGGGCCTTCGTCAGCACCCCAAATAGTTATTTGGTACCCTAAATCCCATTAACCCAAGCACCAGAGAATTACTTATTTTACCTCTAAGCTCTTTAAACAAATAGGAGACAAGTGCCAATTCCCTGCGGACTCTTAGTTCATTGTATCACACCATGCCCAACACGAACAGAGTAGGGTACATTAAAGGATACAAGGGATATACTCCGTATTGCCTCATATATAAATAACTAATAAAATACATTTATTTTGGATTTTTTCTACCATTAGTCTGTATTTGATTTCATGGGGATCTCAGATTAAAGCGTTGCACTCAAGATGGCTCCTTACTACTGTTTTGTACAACGCGATTATCACAGAAATACTGGAAAAAATTCTAAAGGTAAGTACGAATCCTGGCACTTTGTACGCTTTTTTATACGTATTTATTATGTGTTTCCGAAAAGACAATTCAGCAGTTAAGGTGACTCCCAAATCTTTTATCTCTGTAACTCTCTTTATTGTTGTTGCTTCTATTGCATAATTTCAGTGGATCGGGTTATACGACCTAGTGAAACTGATACTCATACATATATTATTAATTGTATCGTATTGAATTGGTAATTTATTCCTGTGGCTCCATGAGACTACTTTATCTGTCTCTTTGTAACATTTTACAATCAGAAATGGATTCAACTGTATGAAACAACTTCAAGTCGAGGGAATAAGAGACATCCGGAATTATAGACAACCTTCGGCAGATCATTAATCATAATGACGAATTCGAGAGGTCCCAAAGTACTCCCTTGACTACTCCTGATCTGACCGAATAGGGTTCTGATGTAAACCCAGTATAATCGACGTACTGGTATCGATCCCTCATATAACTGGAGAAAAATTGTAATAAATGCGGCGTACAACCCATGTTCGCCAGTTTCTTCAGCAATATGTCATTATCGACCACATTAAAAGCTTTCCGGACGTCAAAATAAATGGTATCTACCTGCCTGCCCTCATCAACAGCTGGTATAAGTTGAGCCATATAATTCACCAGATTACTCATGGTACTACGGCCTGGTAGAAACCTATGCTGTGCCTCTGAGAGCTGTGGTCTCAATTGATAGAAAATCGCTCTATGTATTGCTGATTCGAAAGCTTTAGCGGGATTAGAGAGAACAGCCACTGGTCTATACTTATCTACACTTCCACCACCTTGGGATTTAAAAAATGGAATGACTCCTTCCATTCCAGTTCCACATTTACCATTTTGATGGAAAAACTGCTGTTTTTAAACACAGATTATAGATGTGTAACAAAGGTTCGGTTAGTACTAGTCTACAGTCTCTAACGTCTTCGAACGTCGTTTAGATTTAGAGCCTACAAATGCACTCGTGACGATTCATTCGCACCTTCCGCCTGTGCTATCGCCTTGCTTACATTCAGTTCAGCCCTTTCTGTACTATACACGGAATGAAAATATTGTGCACATTCTTTAGCGCATTCTTGTCCGTCAACATAACACCATTTTTTAATATTTTTGAATCCGGCTTACTTCTTTTAGAATGTACGTATTTCCAAAAACTTTTCGGATCTTCCTTCAAATGATTTTGAATACGTTCCCTATATAAGTTTGTTGTAATATTTTGTTACCGTTCTCCTACACTGAGCATATGCAATATAATCGACACACAACTTACTCCACTTGTATCGTTTATGAAGTGCCGCGTTATATTTTTTTATTATATATATATTCGCAAGTATACCATTCGGGGTAAGTTTACCGCGAATTGTTATTTTTTCGTTGTTTTATTGTAACATAGTTATTAATAATCTCCTAAATTTATCATAGAAATAAATTGTACATATTTCTGCATCATTTAATTCATAAATTGGACTCCAGTCTATACTAGCTGATCGCTGAATATAAATAATGATATAATGATCAGCTAAAAAAAATTCCATTGTGATGAAGAATAAAATGTAGCTGTGTCGGCATTACTTACATGCGTACTTCGCTAAGAAGCCGTGGTGGCCGTGTGGCATGTCACCGATACGTATATCTCCAGCAGTGGGTGGTGAGCATCCACTGGCACTAGTGATTCAGACGCGGCACTCTCACTGACACTCCCACTCAATGAGCTTAGGACTAAATCCAATTGACTGTTATTACAGTACACAAAATAATGTACCTACATTATTTTTCTGTGTGTATCCACAATACGTTAAAAAATACTCGTAATAATTGCACATATATGTCGAACAAGAATATAAATTAAAATCTCCTATTATTATAATTTCCTGATATTTTACAGAAAGTTGTTCAAGAATTCTATACAAAAGTAAGTACTCATTTTCACTACTTTGGGGCGGAATGTAAACAACACAACACAAAAATAAAAATCTATCGCGTAAATATACTTTCGCAGAAACCAGTTTAAACGCACAATCGCTAATGTTGACGTCATCGGGTATAGGCACACTTCGTAGTTCAAAATGTTGTTGCACTTCCATCTCTTTTAACTTCCCTATGAGGATATCTGTTTTTCTTCTTCTTGACTTCTGTTCAAGATTCTTCTTTTGTAAATTCTTCATTATCTAATTCAGAGATTTTGCTCTCAGATACCGTTGTATTTTTATTTTTATTTTGGTTCCCTTCTGCTGATAATATTATGCGTTTTATGGCCACACCTTGATTTGTTGGATTTATCTCCGGTTGGTTTTGTGTCCGTATACTTGCATATGATATCGACGACTTATTATTTACATTAGACGTTTTGTTGACGCCTTTTCGTTCCTCTTGGTATTATGTAAACGTGTTTCCAGACATTCATTACTCTTTTTTAATAACAATATCTGTTATTCTAATACCTCAACTTTGTTAGCTTTTTCTTGAACTACCGCCATACTTTTTCTTAATTCTTGCAATTCCAATTCTGTTTTACAAAATCGATCTTGAAGTTGGTTATATGCTTTCATTTGATTATCTAAGCAAGATAAGATTTGTATGCTGTACTCGCGTAGTTCTTCTAATATTTTAGTGTCATTATCCATCATGGATACCTCACTCAATCGGACACGATTACCGCGTTCTGTGTTTATATAATTGTTTGCTGGTGTAAATGTTTTGTTCAGCAATAAATTACCCCGGACAGGCGTATCTGAGTTATCTCGTTTAGGATTAGTGCAAACACACTCAGGACATAAATTTTTGGCACTTGTCCACTGAACACTCCATAAAAGATATGTCGTATATGACGGCTTCACAGCCGTTACATTTTGTCCCCATCAAAAGTAACTTAAAGTAGCTAACTTTTAAAAAATATTTGTAATTCCATATCTCCAATACACGTCTTTCCAAAATTGTAGCAACTACCCTCCTCCTAAATTACTTAACCGTTACCCAGACAAAGCCGGGGCGGGCGACTACTTAATAATGCTTGAACAAATATAATTAAATTAAGTTGTTAAGAAATGTAATAGTTGTATATAATTATTATAATTATTAATTAAACATATAAAAGTGTATTAATTTATTTTTGCCATATGTAAAAATTTTCATGTAAGCATCTAGTACTTTCATAACCCAAATTTATTTCACTAAATTATTATTTTTATATGTTATTTGTGTTGATGGTAGTTGTAAAATGTTTTAATTTTGTTTATGTTTCTAAATGAGATCTATTTTTAATGAATTTAAAATCAATAAAATTAATAATAAATGATAGCCCTTGTTGACAGAAAAAACAAAGATTTAATTTATTTTTAATTACAATAATTATATGGCTTTTTACACAAAATTTAGGGTTCATGTACTAACAAATACATGTTATTAAACAGGGTTCTGTATGAAGCAGGTGCCCGCAACAAATGCAGGTAATTACACTTCGGTACCACAACCATGATATACAACGAGACCGAAATATCGCGAAAGTAAAACACTTGCATAGTGCAATGTAAAATCCACCTTAATAATACTATCTTTTAGAAATGTCTTTGTTTACGTGACCTGAATAAATTAGCTACATTTTATAGAATTTTTAGATAGAACAGGTATTAAATGCGAAGTGTGATGACGTAGGTACCTTTAATGATGATTGGTTTAGCTGTTAAAACGCAAAGATTGGTGATGTCGAGAAAAAATAAAATCAATTGATTGATTAGAGAAATGAGAGTCGATGAGGGAGTTTACAGCCCCCGAAATGTATTCGAACGTTGTGGCTGATTCAAGGTGACAGTCAAGATTGTTGCGGGTTCTTTACAACAGAATCTTGATTGTCACCTTGAAACAGCCACAACGTTAATAGACACTTAATTTCATTAAGATCCGTTCAACAGTTTGACGATGAAAAAGTAACAAACAGATACACACACAAACACAATTTCGCATTCTAATATTAGTATGAATTCTATAATTTTTTCATTAATAAATGTCTAGCGTAATTTTTCTTTAATTTTCATAATATCTTTTTAAATTATAGCCTATGTGTTATTCTGATGTATCAGCTACATCACTATAAAGTTTCATCAAAATCTGTTTAGTAGTTTGTGTATGAAACATTTATCTATAAATCCATACTCAAAAACTTTCGTGGTTTTAATATTAGTAAGTTGTTTTTTTAATAGTTAGTAATAGTGCGATAGTGATAACAAGTTTATAACCAAAAAGTAAGCTTACAGTAACATGTAAGAGATAAAAATTAAATTCATACATTATTTAAAATGTTAATTGTCCCATTTAAACCAATGACATAGTCACCTTAAGCAAAATGGTCGTTTTGCAAATTATTCATCCGGTGACCTGAGCGAAGTGACCCTTCCTCACGGTTGATTAGTACAACTAATTGATTTTAAGGCTAAGTCTTAACTACTGGTCGACAATTTAGAGGTTGCTAATAGCTTCCGAGTGGCGTACGGTTCACTCAACACTGCGGTTTTGTTACTTTGAACATGAAACCTGATTTGGGTCATTTTGATCTTATCAAGAGGCAAAATTAGATGTGTGTGGGTGACGAGTGACGTTGGATTGGACATGATATTCTACTGAGTTAAGAAAAGGAGTTGAACCACTTTTCTTATATGCGCAGTTTAAATTTAATATAATTAGTAACAGAATGTTGTCCTGCTGAGAGTGTATGTAGGTGCTGTATTCGCTATGTGTAGTAGTATGTACATTAGTTCTGTACTATGAGTCTGTATAGTCGTAGTAATATGACATGGTAACTATAGTTCGATTTATAATCTATAGATAGATTATTACGTGAAGCAAAACTTTGTACACCTCTTTACGATGATTGCGCGGACGAAGAACGTAATTTCCTACATACATTATTTATATATAGTAGAAGTAAGTAATAAATACGTTAATTAATAAAAAAATTACACACTCATTTTTTTAATAATTAACATATTTATTATGCACAATTTAAAAAAAATATTGGCATTCTGTACTCCTTCCATAAATGTAGGAAATACAGTGTATTTGAAAAACACGTGCATGTATTATACTCATTTATTCATTGTTAAAGTCTGTGGTTAAATTAAGAAAAGATTAATATTGTTTGTCCTTATTATTATTTGTCTATAGTCTTACTGAATGTCAAATATAATTATTATATAATTCATTTATTACACTAAATATATTCGTTATTAGTGAAATACTACTGTCACTCTAAATTCGAATATAAAATGAAAGTTGTGTAGCAGTAATTTGAATTAGTGTAATTAGTAACGTTAATAATGTTCAAACTTATAATTTAAATTAAATGAGGTCGAACACTGGGCGACCACTAAAATTGAAATTTCTATAAATTTACAATAGATTTCAAATACAAGAAGCGATATGTGAAAGAGTAGTGAAACTCTTTCGTCGCAATTGTTTTTAAGAAAATATCTGCTTATAATTTTTATTCTTGAGGTTATCGAGTATAGTACATAAATTCATCAAGTACTTGTAAAGTCGTAAAGAGTAAATACTACTTACTGCCTCTTATTATTTTCTACGGCCCCTATGTGCGTACCCTGTATTGATTAGTAGTTAGTCATGTGTTAAACTACGGTTATATTAAATTACCAAACCGTAGATAATAGATAATCATGGTAAATTTATATGGCTTTTATTGTATACACAATTCATAGTTTGCAATTTGATCTCAATAATTATGTAGGTATGTATTTGACGTTTATGTTGGGGACTTTACTATTAAGCAAATACTGGTATATTCAACAGACTTTTATGTATATTTGATG